TCTAGGTTGGAAGGAACCTTTAAGATCACTGAGTCCAACCATCAACCTAACACCGCCAAACCCACCACTAAACCATGTCCTCAACACATTGGCCACGTCTGTCTGGTTGTATCTCCTGGGATGCCCATTTTTAGCAAGACAAGGACAACCCCTCTCTTGCAGTTGTCTAAAAATTGTCACTCGTTCTGCCATGGCAGCCGGGCACCGCTGCGGATACACACTGCTTGTGCAAGGCTGGCAAGACAGAAGCTCCATCTTCAGCGTATCTCATTTGCACCTTCTGCAGGGACGTGGGCAGAGCAAAGGCCTGGTCTGAGGCTGCGGAGCTCTCCCCGGTGAACACAGAATGGGACAGCAGCTTAAAAGGAGCATTCAGAGAGCCCCTACAGGGGTTTGAGGCATCCCAAAAGGACTCTGCTGTTGCTGCGTATGCCAGAAACGCCGTGTTGGCTCCACTTGCCCTGTGTCCCACCTTGGCCTTGGACAGTGCCCTATACCTCCCCTTCCATCACACACACATACACACGCTTTCCCCACCAATATTGATGGGTTTGCGCTCAAGAAACAGTTGGCCAAACCACAAATGATGTCTGACACTCACACAAAGCCTTCCCTGAAGCATCAGACCAATGTCACTGACTCTTCTTTCCATGCCCAGAGGGATGGGGCTTGGCACAGTGGACAGGCTGGAGAGGACAAGCGTGGGGCAGCGCAGTCTCACCAGGGCCTGGCAGGAGACAGACCTCCCCACGGTCGCCTTTTCCCAGCCACAAACCCACCAGGGCGACGGCAGTGCCCTGGCAGCTGCAGCCCCGGCGCTTCTGCGGCTTCCAAATAATGCCGCGCTCAACTATCGCCGGTGGACTCCCTCCGGTTGAGAGTAAGACACTAAATATTTGAAGGTTCTCTGGAAGCCAAGGCTACTGGATAAAAATAAATGGATAAGTTTGGTAATGACAGAGTACGTTAGCGCATGGGATGCAAACTGGCAGCCTGCTAGCGGGATTAATAATTTATGGAAAGATTTAGGACTGTATGAGCGACTATTCTTGATCAGGCAACAATATCAGCTCTGTCGAGGAGGAAACAGAAGCCTTTGCATCAGGCAAGAACAAGACAACCCGTTGCCATGGGACGTTTTCTTGTAACCTTGAGAAGTGAAAGGATGGCTGGCTGCCGACAGCCGGCGGGTCAGCATCCCACAGAGGCAGATCTGTTTCAAGCTCGGAGACTTTTTTTTTTTTTAGTATTCCCTTGTGCCATGAGTCCTAGAGTGCAAGGTCCAGCCTACGAAAAAGCCATTCATGAGTGACACCGCTAGGACAAGACGTATTGCCTCCAGGAAGCTCTATTTCCTGAAAACGTGGCGATATAATTAGGTGTCCACATTCTCCCTGGTACTTTCTGCTGGTGCGTTCCATCCCATTACCAGAAATACTCTGTAAACTTTCCTTGACTATGTGAAATTGATTTAATTGTTTTCGAAAGCCGGTAAAAAAAGCATTTCCTGACGTTTATATATTTTGCTTATTGCTTAGCAGCGGGAGTTCTGGGTTTCTGCGAGGGAGGGGAAATAAGGGAAATATTTGTTCCTGACTTTGGTTTGGAGCCATGATTTATACACTCCCTCATGCTGGAAACGTTATTTCTGTGACTGCTCTCATTATTTTAATGTGCTATTCCTCTCTCTACAGGCAGTCGTTTTTTACTCCTGCTGCTACGGGACACAAACACCGGAGCAGTGGACAAGAGCGCAGATTTTGGATGCGACCTGTTAGCCCGGCCCCAGCGGCACAAGGGGAGGAGCGGCCGCTGCCACGCGGAATTGGGGATACGCTCTCTTACCGAAGGTATGAATCGGAGCGGGAGAGGTTTGCTTTCCACATCTCTCCTCTGGCTTTGCTTCAAGCACAGAGCTGTTACTGCATGGCGGGGATCTCCAGCCAGCAGAACGGTCCCACCACTCCTTCGGTATAAATGCTCCGGCATCAAACTCCGCATTACAGCATCAGCTACCGCAGGGCTCACTGTGACGCCCGTTCCATAGCTATACAAGGGCGTAAAATTACACAACAGCATTTACTGGATTTACATTGTTTATAAATTCTCATAAGACTGTAAAATACAACCCAAGTTCATCTAAAAATTTTTATGAAGAATCTACATAATAGAGCCCTGGAGCTCATATTTTTAAGAACTGCCTCAATAAAAATTGGTTACCTCAGCACAGGAAGAGTGGGGGTAGACAGTGGAATAACAGTTTTCAAGCTCACAGAAGTTCAGCATCTTTTCTAAACACCAAATCAGCATCAGCACCGACCAGAGAAGGGGACCGTCCAGCAGTCCTCCAAACAGGCCTTTGGGAGTGTGCCCCGTCCCTTCTTTCCACATTTGCGGAATTGCTGAAAAATGAATTTCCTGAGGTTTGCGTTTCAGTGGAATCGCTTTCACATCTTTGACATTTCCAATTTTCAACATCTTTAAGAAAAATATGAATATCTGAGCAAAGCCCGCAGGTCCCGTAGACAGTTCCCACTGTTCCCCTGGTAGCTTGGTTGTGCTTAAGACTCACCGTTGCCATTGCCCAATTAATTAGTCAATTGGTACTGAGCACAATCCCAGTTTAGTGAAACTAGACGAGGCTCCACGGAGCAGAGGGAGGCTGCAGCCCATCAGCACGCGCTTGGGCTGGAGCTGCAGCCGGGCTCTTCTGCGCCGGGGAAGGCAAGTTGGCCATCAGGTCTCCTCTTAGGCCAAAGCTGAGGGAAGCTGCAAGGTGAACCATGGGGCTCAGAGCCCCACCGAGCTGAGTCTACACTCTCCTGGGAGAGCATTCCTGTTTGATTCACCCGCCCCAATCATCTGATTATTGGTAACAGCTTCTTTGAGGTCGGTGCACAAGGGACCGTCAAGTTCAGGTCCCTTCCACCAGCCAGGCGGCTGCCGAGCACCTACGCCATCTCTACGCGGCAGCAGCCACCACAGTAACTTTTATAATACTGATTTTTTACTGCTTTTGGAATTTGTGAATGGGGGATTTTGAGCTTTTGGATAAACTCCGCTACCACTGAAACCAAGTAAGGCTTACTGGTGGTTTCAGTGGGAACAGAAGCCAAGACAAAACAAGTTCTCAAATCTAGCCCCGGAGGCCAAACCTACCTTCTTCCGCTGATTTTATTTAATAAAATGCACTCCCTGCCATGCTGTTAGATTCAACAAAGCTCTTCTGATTTTCCCCAGCATTGAAGACATGGCCTACTGCTGTCATTGTCTCACATTTAGGACTATCATCTCACCACTCAGAAATAACAAGAAGGTCAAGGTTCATTGTGTGATTATACATGTATTTGGGTTTACAAGAAAAGTGTTCTGTGAAGAAGCAACTCCATGACTCTCAGTGAAGAGCAAGGCCAGTCTCAAAATTGAAACAGGAGCAGGCAATTTCAGTCATCCAGCTGTTCATATGCACACTTCAAAAGTCTCCAAAACGTTCCCTTCTAGCTTACCTCCCATGAAGTTTCAGTCCAGGTCATAGCTGATGGTCTCAGAAGATGAACAGCGGTCTTTCGAGCGAGTGACTCTCGGGGCACTGGGGGCACCAGCAGGTCTGAACCGACCCCGTACCTGGTGCTCCCACCCCCGTGCCACTGCCACCAACCCCAGAGCTCTGTCCCAGCTCCTGCCCTGGCCCCAGCCCTCACCCGAGCTGGGTCTACACGGTAGGTCTACTCTGCCCAGGGGACTTGCCAGGCTGACCCGGGCCGGCTTCAGTGCCTCTCCTTGCCTGATGACCACTGTGCTGTCACCAAAACCTGTTAGTATCACCAAACTGGCCCTGTTTGGGCTTATCTGACTAAAAAAAATTAAGTATCTGGTGACACAGTGAGTAAAATCTCAGACTGCGTCTGTGTTGCCCATCGCTGTTGCACATAGCCCACCCGGTGCTCTACGTTGACCAACTGCCCCAACAGCAGAGCCGCCGTGTTCGAAGAGCAGCTACTTCTGTGGCATCTGCATGCTAACAAAGACCATCCAGACTCGTCTGGGCTTTTCTCGCTCCAAAACAAACCACAGCTCCATGTATCGAGCAGTAAAATAAAGATATCAATCCTCCTGCATACCAATTTTAGAGAGAACTCCAGTCTGTCTACTTTGAAGCTAAAAATTACGCTTAACATAAAGACACTTTTCTGATGAAATTTAGGAGACAACCATCTTTTGGACAAAATGTATTAAGTCTTCAACTTCTTGTTAATTAGCACAGCTTGAAGACTTGCAGACGGAGGACGCTATGTCCCTGCTGGTCTACTGAGCGCGCGGATTTGCCACATTTTCGCGCCGAGTGATATATACTCCACAAGTAGCGAGTCTCACTGACCTAAGCATATTTGCAAATATAACACTACTCAATTAAATAATGACAAAAATCTGACTGTGAGCAAACAAATCACATTTTTTAGACTAGAAACGAGCAATTAAGTTACATGGGAGAACACGCAAAATAGGGAAATTCCAACAAAGCGATGAGGGAAAGCTGTATTTGAAGTTGGCAATTGTTTTAATTACACCCATTGAAGATGTGCTTGTCTTGGAGAGACAATATTTTTTCTTTTTTACTTTTTTCATCTTGAAATATAGATAGCATGTAATTACATTGATATGTGATGGACCAAGAAACATTACCGCATTAAAAAAAAAAAAATATATGAAGCTTTAAGTTAAAGTTGCAGAATGGATGAATCGCATCGGCTACGATGCGAGCCCAGGGGTGCGCAAGTAACCAGTCGTTTGATGCACGGGAATGGTTTCCCGCGTGCGGTGTATGCGTACGCAGCCGTCAGAGCTGACTCAGTTGTCTCCTCACAGCGGCAGCGATCCTGCTCCGGGGTTCGTTCAGCGACGCCGCT